AGTTATCTGTTGCAAGAATTCGATCGGCAACTCTCGAAAAGTTGCATATAAGAGTAACTTTTCAACAATTTTTCGTGAAATGTTTGTGTTTTCTTGGGTTTGCGCGCGATCTTGGCGGTGTAATAGCTCCACCGTGCCGTCTAGAGATGCAAAATAAAATTCTCCGTCGGGTGGTATTTAATTGTTGCAGGATATCGACCTGTAACCCGCCAAAAATTTGCATATAACCGTAATTTTTCATCCCTTTTTCGTGACATGTTTGTGTTTTTTCGCGTTTGCACGCGATCTAGGCTGCGTAGTAACTTCAGTCTGGCGTCTAGAAATGCGGAATTAAATTCTCCGTCGGGTGGGATTTAATTGTTGCAGGATATCGACCTGCAACCCGCCAAAAATGTGCATATAAGGGTAATTGTTCAACCCCTTTTCATGAAATGTTTTTTTTTTCGGGTTTGCACGCGATCTCGGCAGCGTAATAACTTCAGCCTGGCGTCTAGAAATGCGGAATTAATTTCTCCTTCGGGTGGTATTTTATTGTTGCAGGAATTCGATCTGCAACCCGCCAAAAATGTGCATATAAGGGTAATTGTTCAACCCCTTTTCATGAAATGTTTTTTTTTTCAGGTTTGCTCGCGATCTAGGCCGCGTAGTAGCTTCAGCGTGGCGTCTAGAGATGCGGAATTAATTTCTCCATTGGGTGGTATTTAATTATTGCAGGATATCGACCTGCAACCCGCCAAAAATTTGCATATAACCGTAATTTTTCATCACATTTTCGTGGAATGTTTGGGTTTTTTCGGGTTTGCACGCGATCTAGGCAGTGTAGTAGCTTAAGCGTGGCGTCTAGAGATGCAGAATTAATTTCTCCGTCGGGTGGGATTTAATTGTTGCAGGATATCGACCTGCAACCCGCCAAAAATTTGCATATAAACGTAATTTTTCAACCCTTTTTCGTGAAATGTTTGCGCTTTTTTGGGTTTGCTCGCGATCAAGGCGGCGTAATCGCACGGACTATTCTATATAAGATAGGCTATATATATATATATTTATTAATAAAATTAACGTGATTTTAGATTACAAGTTATGTGAGAGTTAGACATGTTTCGCCACGAGGGTATTGAATTTCTGGAACAAACAAATATATCCCGACGGAGAATTTAATTCTACATTTTTTAAACATCCCGCTCATGTTAGTGTAACGCTCTCTTGGCGTACAATGACTAAAATGATCTACATATTACGAGCACGCGTGGATCAGTTGTACAAAACAAACACTTAATTATATTAACAAGGCAGTACAAGGCAGGTACGTCGCGATAATACACGTCAGTCGAACAAAAGTTGTTTATAAACAAACGTAGTGGTAAACATGTACTTGAGAAGTCGAAAGTAAAAATTCACAATATTGAAATAACACACATACACGAAATTTACTTTTATTTTCTTCGCTGTTGAATACATAATCCATATTAATTTAATAATTTAATTTAATATATATATATATATATATATATATATATATTTCGTGTAT